TTTTAATCACACACCCAGATGTGTTTGAGTATTTATATTTCTCTCTCTCTCTCTCTCTCTCTCTCTCTCTCTCTCTCTCTCTCTCTCTCTCTCTCCCTCTCTCTCCATGTGTTGCGTGCTTTCTTTTTTCTCTTTTTCCCTCCAGGAGCAGTAACACGCTGGGTCTATCTGCTCCACCCATCTCAGCCCTCATTACTCCGGAGCCGGTGCGTCACTCGAGGATCCCCGAGCTGCCATTGGACAGCAGTCTGCTGTTTGAGTTCCTGCTTTTTCTCTATTTGCTGGTGGCCTTGTTTGTCCAGTACATAAACATCTACAGGACAGTGTGGTGGTACCCATACAGCCACCCTGCTGCCTCTACCTCGCTCGTAAGAACACTTAACACACTCTTTTCCCACCAGTTCCCTCAGTAGTCCTAAAAAATAGGTTATCATTTCAGTTTTCTGTTATCACAGTTTTAAAACTGTAAGTAAAACTGCAGCAATATGTTGCTGTCTTTCCCCAACTCATAACATACCACTTTCTTATTAAGAGGTTTAATCTAATAAGCAACAATTTCTCTGTGGAGAAAAAAACCCCTATCTTTTTATCTTCTCACAACAGAACTTTCATTTAATGGACTACCACCTGGCTATCTTCATCACAGTAATGCTGGCCAGGAGGCTCGTTTGGACAATTGTTTCTGAGGTAAACACAGATTCTATCTCTGTAAGCAGTCAGCAAGCACACTGTAGGGACCTGATCCCTCATGATGTCAGTGTTGCTGCCGTGCTCTCTCTCATAACGGCGTGTTGTTCTGCTTCTGTCTCGCCCAGGTGTCTCAGTGCAGCGGGGGGTCTCTGCTGCGCTACGTGCTTCTAATCGCAGCTCGACTCAGCCTGCTGACCCTGTGCGGCTGGGTGCTGTGCTGGACGCTGGTCAACCTCTACAAGGAAAACTCTGTTCTTAACCTCCTCTTCCTGGGATATCCGTGAGTGTTTGGTCCACTTCACTCTCTAAAGGCCAGTCTACCACTGAATAATTTGTCTCAAAGCAAAGTATTTCTAAGTGTTTTGAATTATCTGGAGTGAAGCAGTCAAAGTCTGCTATCAGAGGCGGAATGCATGCAAATTGTAAAAAATGGGGATAATTTTTATATTTGGAATAAGAGTCAGTTGCTTTATAAGAAATAACAGAAACTGGGCTGTGCAGCTCCTGAATGAAGTATTGTAAAAATGTGCACAGGTTGTGTGGTGATCTGATAAGCGCTTTATCTGAAGTGCTTCCCACAAATGGTTGCCACAACTGTCAAATGAACATCTGTCAGCAGGACTTAAATTGTCTTTTTTTCCTGCTTGCTGTGGCATCAAATTCTAAAAGACATTTTTCTGATGGGACTGTGTAAAAGTAAAAACCTTGCTCACATACACGGTTTATGGCTGCAGCAGTGGGAAAAAATCCTAAATATTGAAAAAGGAATAATTTAGCTACTACACATTTTCTAGCCATTAACCAGAAATGGTGCAGATAACTTTAAGTTCATGTAGACATTGTATTTACCATCTCAATTTTCATTCCATCCTCATCTGAAGGTAAAAAATGCTTTTGTGTCGTTTATTTATTTTTTATCCCCAGATTCGGTGTTTATGTCCCACTCTGCTGTTTCCATCAAGAGGGAGGGAAAAGCCAGGCGGCACCAGCCGACTGCGATTACACAGCTGACCACCAGCAGACCGACCTAACAGAAACCCCCTTCTTCCGACCACGCGACTTCCTCTTCCTGTTACGAGAGAACCTCAGAGAGCAGTTTTCCAGCCCCCCACACATGCCCACACACACCTGCCCGCCACCCACACACTCTCACACACCAGAGCTGATTCGAGCAGAGGTGGAGGAGCTGAAGAGCGACTTCAACCGGCGAATCAAGGAAGTGCTTTTCAACTCGCTCTTCAGCGCTTACTACGTAGCCTTTCTGCCCCTCTGCTTTGTTGAGGTGGGTGTTTCACTTGCGTCTCTTTCTCTGTCATAAATTCCCGACCTTTCGTGTTGCGTAGGGTTGCTTCTGGTTTCTAACTCGTTCTTCTTACTCCTACAGAGCACCCAGTACTATGACATGCGCTGGTCATGTGAGCATCTCATCATGGTGTGGATCAATGCATTCGTGATGCTGATGAGCCAGCTGCTGCCCCCCAGTTACTGCGACCTGCTTCATCGCTCGGCGGCTCACCTCGGCCGCTGGCAGAAGCTGGAGCACGGCTCATACAGTAACGCACCTCAACACATGTGAGTGGCCCAGTGTGCGCACACTCTGGTGTACTTAGAGAAGTTTAGAAATGTCTATTTTGGGGTGACTGTAGCTCAGGTGGTAGAGCAGGTCATCTACTGATCGGAAGGTTGGTGGTTCGATTCCTGGCTTCGCCTAGTCTGCATGCCAAATATCCTTGGGCAAGATACTAACCCCAAATTGCTCTCCGATGCATCCATCGGAGTATGAATGTGTGTGAATGTTAGCTATAAAGCACTTACAGAGATGTGCTTGTGCGAATGGGTGTGAATGGGTGAATGCACAAGTTGTGTAAAGCGCTTTGAGTGCTCAGATGAGTAGAAAAGCGCTATATAAGAACCAGTCCATTTACCATTTACCATCTATTTAATAGGTTATGTATAACTGTGGTGTTAATGTTTTGCAGGTGGTCAGAAAGCACCATTTGGCCTCAGGGGGTGTTAGTACGACATAGTCGAAGTCTGTATAAGGCGGTTGGTCCCTATAATGTGGCTCTCCCCTCTGATGTTTCTCATGCAAGATTTTATGTGAGTACCTGTGAATTTCCTATATTAACTACACTGATGTTCACCATTTTTCAGATTATCTGTAGTTTTGGTCCTTATTCCCTTCTGGTCTCTAATAAAATGTTTTTCAAATGTGTTCAGAAATGAGGAAAAAACAAACAAAAAACAACAGCTCTGGTGTTCCTTATTATGTAGTCACTGCTCTGTGCAGTGTCCCTCTTGCAGTAGTATTTGATTACTTGCAAGCATTACAAGAGTACTAGCTTATCGCCACTGAAGGCAGGTTTAGGTACAGACACACCCAAGCCTATTCATGATTCCTGGGAAACCTCCTCCCTCCTACTGAGGCGTTTGATTATGAAAATTCAGTTGCAGAGTGTCACCAAGAGGTGGCGCTTTCCTCACAAAAACTTTGACTTGTGTTGATTTCTTGTACAAAACTTCATGTTATAGATCAAAGAGAAGATCTGAAATTGGTTCAACTCTAATTTTTCAGTTATTGTTTGCTTGGTGATTATTTTTTGCAGACTTCTGTTTGATCTGTGATTATGATCAACATTCAGCAGGTTAGTCTAGTGTTAACTCAGTCAATGTCTTTTAGGAGAAGCATAACTAGTGTGTATAACGTTTTCAGCTCCAGTGAATTCAAGCACTTTATTTACATGTTGCTAAGGTAAATTACCGTATTGGAGCTATTTTCTGTGTATTTGTGTGAGCGTGAACTGACCTTAATTCTGATCAGCTGATTGGGAAATAAGAGAAAGGACGGGTCACAGTACTCATAAACTAAACACAACCTCATGCTGCCTTTATTGAAACGGGACATTAGAGCTTTACCAATTAAAATGAGATTTTCCTAATTTGTTTCTGCCGAGTGGACGAAATTAGATTTGTGTTTGGTTTTGCTGTTGAAACCAACATTTTCTCCTGAGGAGATGCCATGTTCGCACAATTGTCCTGAATTTAAGAGCGATATTCTAGAAACTGTTTGTTTAATACAGTAGACCTGAATAAATTATAATGACAAACTCTTTTAGTCAATCCATCAGGTAGAAATTACTTGTGCCACATTTTAAGTTGCACAAAACAAACAAACAATAGAGACGGTATTACATGTATTTTTATTTTTGGGGGTTTTAACAGACTTTTGCACTTAGTTGAAAAAAAAAGATCATTAACACAAAATACTGGATTCAAGGACAAAACAGGATGGGAAAACCGGAAAGCAGCAATCTCTCCTCTTTAAAGTCGTCCCACTGTTTCAGAAAATACAACTCACTGCTTTGGAGAAAATTATAAGATGGTATATAAGAGGCCCATATAGTGTGTTGGGATCATGGTGTGAATCAGGGGTCAGCAACCTTTAACACCCAAAGAGCCATTTGGACCCAGTTTCCACGCAAAAGAAAACACTGGGAGCCGCAAATACTTTTTGACATCTATAATGAAGATAACACTGCATATATTGTTTTTTACCTTTATGCTTTGTGTGAACAACTAAAGCGTGTTGCTTATGAAATCCATGAAGTGCTACAGAGAAAATTACATCTTATTTATGTAATTAACACATTTTGAACTTTTACAGAAATATAACAAAGGAAAACTGAACTAAAATGATCCATGTAGCAAAGAAAAACTGTTGTGAGCCACCACCCTTATATATAAGGGTGGTGGCTCACAACAGACATATCATCTTTGGGCTTTTCGAGGCTTGACCTGACTTTTAAAAAATAATTGGGAAAAGAAGCACTATGCTGCTAAAAAATGAAAAATAGATATTTGCAAAATTCTGATTAAATATGTATTTTACCTGGTTAATGTGTGTGGCGTGGTCTGCAGCATCGCTGCAGGGGAGGCGGACGCACCTGAGCGGCAACCACGCCTCGCCGCCTTTACATCTGTGCTATCTATGCTGTTTTGTTGGTGTGTGTCGGGCTGTGAGCTGAAAAGCTACAGCCGGCTGTAAGCGTCAGCAACTGTGTGTGAAAAGTGGTCAATAAAGAGATGCTGAAAAGCGTGTTCATGCAAACATCGTCGGGTCTGCCGTGGCTTCTGGTCCTGAACCTCTGCGCACAGCGTCTGCAAATCGGGGCTTTCATCTTTACGCAGGACTGTAAGCTGTCATCTGTGGGACGTGAGCGGTGTTTGTTTTTAACATTGTTCACGGTGGAGAATAGCTGCTGACATCATGTGGATCCGAAGATCCATAATTGGCCTACCTGGGGTTGAAAGTCTCGATAAATGCATGCCGTTTTGGCGGGTACACCGGCTTCCGCGAGTGTGACGCTTATTTTGAGCGATGAAAAAATAATAGAATATAATTTTATTTTTTTGTTTCAATATCACAATAATCTTCCAATTTAGAACTACAAGTTAAAAAAGAACTAACATAAATAAAATACACTTCAGCTAAATACTTCTAATTTATTTTCCCAAACCACGCGGAGCCGCACTATATAAGGACTAAAGAGTCGCAGGTTACCGAGCCCTGGTATGAATGTTTGGGCTGGGGTTTGAAAATCAAGCTGTTTGAATGGTTCGGACAGAAGGGTCCACAGTAACACTAATGATGGTTTGGGCTCTTACCTGTCAGCAAAACCAAGATTTGGCATCACTGCTGCGTCCATCATGTAGCTCTTCACTGAGTCTGCACCCCAGATGTTTAGAACAGAGCTCCACGTGGCCCATTTCTAAACACAAACTACTGCAACAAGTGAATAAAGTGAGTAAAGTACGAGTTTCCTCAGAGGCTAATGCACCGTGTTCAGACAGAAGCGCTGATGTCTGGCACTTCTCACTCAGTGATAGAGTTGAGCTAGCATCTTTACTTTTCGCTGACTCTGAAGCCGAGCTTCAAAAAATCATCAGCCTGTGGTCAAGCACAGCGGCAAAATTTGTGTGGCTGCTCAACCACAGATATTGTCTTTAAACAGATATTGGAGAAGAAAAACATGCAGTAAGATGGGATCTTTAATGGGATTCCCTGAAACAGCTGGATTCACACAGCGGTGAAGTGATTAGAAAGCTGCTCGGCGGCTGGTTGTGCCCAACATTTCTGAGTATTTATTTACCGCCGCCCCCTCTGAGTGCCCTGGCTGTCTCCCACAGTCCACAGCAGGTCAAGTTGTCTGCCACCCTAACCTGCTAAGTGTCCATACATGTGTACTCTATTCAGTCTTTTTTTTGCTTTCCCACCCCACAAAGCTATAGCCAATCCTGGACACTTTGACAGAAACCCACACTCTCTCACATTCACATGAGCAGCCAGTTTAAATTTAACAGTTAACCTTCCTGTCTTTGGAGTGTGGGAGGAAACCTGTGCAGGCACGGTGTTAACAGGGGAACTCCAACCAGAAAGGCTCCAGCCCATCAGCAGGTTTCCAGAACTTTCTTGCTGTGAGGCAGCAGCGCTAACCACTGCACATATTGAATTTTTTATTTTATTTTTTTTTAATCTATGACACACTGTCATTTTCCCCCCCATTCTTTGTGTCTGTTTGGCTTCCAGTTCCTGTTCCACAAGCCGCTGCGGATCTTGAACCTGCTGATCTGGATCGAGTCCAGCGTGGTTTTGTACCAGTTATACTCTCTGCTGCGCTCTGAGCGCTGGAACCACACATTGTCTCTGGGCCTTATTCTCTTCTGCAACTACTATGTCCTCTTCAAACTACTCCGAGACCGCATCGTGCTGGGCAAAGCCTATTCCTACCCTCTGTCCTCCAACAGTTTGGGGCTCAAGTCGCAGTAAAGACTACACGGCGAGACCTCTCCTACAAACTCTGGACGCGGAGGCGAGACGGATGGAGGCCTGATGGAAGTGGAAGGCGCTTGGAGATTAAGGGACAGACTGTGAACTCATAATTGTGTTTTGATACGGTTCAATTTTTAATGCAGTGTTTATATATAGACCTATTTAAAAGAATATTTTTATTTTGTATACTATTTCGAGTTACACCGGGCATTACCACGCTCATGTCATTAGCATGTTGTGTTATGTTGTTGCTAGGTGACAGGGAAGTCAGGGAATGCCAGGAAGTGACTTTTCACCAAAGATATTTTAAGTGCAGGCGGCCAATGACGGCACAGACTTTGCCTTTGACAGTCGGTTAAAACAGGCGTTCGATTCAGAGCAGAGGGAGGTTTCATGCTTGGGTCCTGATTGTCCTTTATTCTGCTTCAGTCTTAAATCTGGAACCAGTCATTTTTGGGGGCATCAGCACGATTTCTTCATTTCAGTATTGGTGCACCTCTTCGTCTCTAAAAGGAATAATTTGAGATTTTTGGGAAATGTGCTTATTGTCTTTTGATCAAAGTTAGACACTCAATCTGTTAACATTAGCAAATGCAAGAAAAATAGCTAGTCTGACAAATGATTACCGTACCTTTTCATACCTGGGAGTCAAATCCTGCTGTTCTGCTACAAGTCTCTGCCGTCACAAAGATGCACATTAGTAGACTGCTTGTGTTTTGTCCTCCCCCCTTTTGTTTTTATTTACTTGGGGATTGGCCATTTTTCATGATTTGGGTTAAATGTCCCTTTGCAAAGTTAGCTCTCTAAAGAAAAGCAACACTTAAAGGTTCCCAGTGTGTTTAAATTTAAATACCAAGGGCTCCTGTACAGGCGTCCGTGTTAGATATATCACTGTTTCCACTGCTGCAACCTCTGTAGTGACCCTAAAGGACATCTTTTTGTTTATATCTCTGAGATGGCTTTAACATAATGGCAGAATCTGATTCCCTGTGAGTGAAACTTTTTTTTTTTAATATTTATTTATTTAATTGAAACAAAAGTCAAAGGGTAAAAATAAATCTGTCCAGTCGGTACATGTGAAACATGTTCATATTAATGAGCTTTAGGGGTCGTTGTAGGTAATTTTAGTGATTTTTGGTTTGTGCAGGATTGGCTGTTCCACTGTATAAATACTTAAACCTACGTTAAAAAGTCAGCTGAAGCTACGATCGAGGCAAGAGTGTGATATGAATCTTATTATCGAAATGTAAAAGGATGAGAACATTTCCTGAGAGTAAGTATTCCTTTAAGCAAAGTCTCAGTCTGTTATTTTTTACTCAAAGTCCAATAAACTGTTCATGCAAACTGACTCGAGAGCAGTCTGGAAGAAAAACACAGTTGGTACTCCAATCCGCGGCCTCCGCAGACAATGCCGTGTTCTTCTCATTCAGCTTCTAACCATGTTTTCACAGTTAGTATCTGCTTGCTTCGTATCACTGGCTAACTGGAGGGTGGAGTAACAGCACCAGTCTCGAAACAACCTCACAAGCGTCAGACAGAAAATCTTTTGTCTGGCATCCTTAAACTCACTGCGCACTCATGAAAGTCCAAGTGCAGTGCTTAAAGTGAGAAAGGCTGCTGCTGTGAGAGGGTGATGCCTGAGCACACTTTCACACACTGAAATCTGGCTACAATACACCATGTTACTTAATGTTCATCCAGTCACTTGAATGTTTCAAGTATGATGGGATATAGGACTGTATCACATCAGGTCTGTGTCTGTTGTGGACTGAAACATCCTTCATCATCACCCTTGACCCACTGCAAATAAGTCACTGTCACCATGCTCTCATTTAGGTTTGAATGCAGAGGGTGTTTAATAGTGACACTTCAGTGGGGACTGAATGTGTAATCACAGGGTGTGGAAAGACAGCCGCCTCAATGCCACTTCATGTATTCTCAGTTACCGGAACAGGTTGCCTTGCATTGTTGTTGCCTTTCTGTGTAGCTACACTTTGCGATCATCACCTTACCCGTCAGTAGTTTTGCCTTTATGTTCCTCCACCTCTCCATCACCAGCGTCAGTCTGCAGCCAGTGCGTAACTTCAGGCAGTATTAAACTTTAGTTTGACAAAGTGGATTTTTTTTTCACATTGCTACCATCTGCTTTCAGGTTGAGTGTTAAATAGTTGAGGAAACTACCTTTGAGATGAACCAGTGTACATGTGGAGCACACATGTTTGACAGATCCTCTAATTCACATGTCATACATGTTCTAGTTTGTCTGCAAACGTCTCCCCTTTCTTTGGTGCTTATACTTTGTGGTCACTTTACACTTGAATGTAGCAAAGTCTTGCAGCTGAATTGTGCTGTTGATGTGAATCGGTATTTTGTTTTTTTCTTTCTCCGTGCTGTTGCCTTCAGTTGAGCGCCATTGCTAAAATGAGTTTTGAATGGCTCTCATCTTTTAATTTGCCCAGGGTAATTCTGAAATGACACAATTTAACTCTGTAACTCCCGCTTCTGTGGAGAGTCTGCTTTGAATAAAAGCTGAAGAATTGAGATATGAATAGATTCTAAATTTATTACTGCTCTACCCTCTCGATTTTAGTCAACTTGTTGCTCATTTACTTCAAATAGTTTTAAAAAAACATGACATATCCACGTTTCCACATTCAGAGTCAATGTTGAACCCGTTGAGTATGTCAGTGCTGGAGAAGTCAAAGGAGCTGGTCCTCATATTTCGGCTTTTTACAGTGTTCAGGTTCCCCACAGCATTTCTGATTTTTTTTTTTTTTTATTTTTTTTTTAAATTGGAAATAAAAACAACTTGTCAAACCAACATTGTGTTTGTTTTAATGTGTCTTGTGAGCGGACTGGGAAAAAATAGAAGACACTTGCCTTATTTCAAAGCATATATTTCATTAAATCTGCCAGTTTTCTGGTTTCTTTAGAAACGTCACAAATAAGTAAAAAGTGCTTATGTAGGCCTAAACTAACTTGGGTTGCCATCATGTTCATGTGGACACCTGCAGTGTTCTTATGTGGCCAGCAGATGGCGCTTGGCAATAAGAAACAACACTCCACAAACTGCTTCATTTACCAAGTAATCTGCAGACTTGCAAAAGTCCTGAAATATCAACCTCTGCAAAATGCTTCCACCCCGCCTCCCACTGTAAATAAAGCATGCTATGCTTGTAGATAACTACTGTTTCCACTGAGAGGTTTGGAAGGAAACAGTTGGCAACTTTGGTAGCTGACTTGTACATTCATTCACAAATATAAATTTCAGTAGAGAAAACAGTGCAATCTTTAGTATTAGCTCAGTTTAAATGCTGCAGTGTCTAGATAAACAGTTTCTCTGGTCCCACCCCATCAGTCCATGTTTCAGATTAAATGAGTCCAAATAAAACTTGGTTATCCTGATAAATGTTCTAAAAGGGAGAAAAAGATTTTCTTGATATCTTAGAAATGTGAGTGATGATCAAAAACTAAGCAAAGGCACAAATTAAAGTGGCCCATTTGTCATGTCATTACTGGATCTGAGTCTCGTCTGCGTGTAGATATTGGCATATTTATGTTAACATATCAGTGCTGCGGGCAGTGGGGTTGAAAAGTGTGGCTCCTGTTATGCCAAAAGGATTTGCGGCTGTGGTTTTACACCCCTTGTGTGGTCCTCATGTTTTTGTTTTCACCCCTCCCTACAGTCCATGAAGTTTCCTTTTATCCAGTAGCAGATCTGAGCATATTTCAGAGGCGTGATTCTCACCGCTACATTAAATTCCTGGGACGCACCTTGTCGCTCCACCCACTGATGCCCGGAAAACACACCTATCACCTTCCGCTCCCAGCGTCGGCGCCGACCATCCCACATCCGTGCGTAGACTCCCGAGCCGCTAGCCCCGGGTTGAGCGTCACAGTGCTGGTACAACAGGTCTGAGGTCTCCTCGCCAGCACGACAGAACCGATACACCAGCTGTCCTGGCCGGTCGTTATCGAATCCTGAGAAGTGGACTCGGCGACCAGGCAGTCCCTGAGCGGGGGGGCTGACTCCCAGCTTCATGTGGCGCCGTTTGTGGGGTTTCTTGAGTTCAAGCAAAGCATAGTCATAGTCCATTCCTATGTCATTAGCATTCCCTTTTATCCAGCCTTTGGGAACGTGGGTGCGCTTGGCTCTGATCCACTGGAACTTCATTATGTCACTGGTAGGTGGTGCGTAGGGACTCGGACCTCCTTCAACATGGTTGGTGAAGTTGGAGAGAAGGTGGAAGGAAGACTGTTGTGTGTCTCGTTGCTTAGGTTTTAAAAAGCCAACCCGGAGCCTCTGAGCTCCTTTCACATAGTTTTTACCATCGTGAACACAATGAGCAGCTGTGAGAACATGACGGTCTCCCACCAGTGTACCAGAACACCCAGTGGACAGTTTGACAGCCACTGAGAATGGATATTTAAGCAAGAAGTCCTGCCCAGCAATACTAAATCGCCCATCGTGGCCAAAGATCTGGCGCTTTCTTCTGACATGTGACCTCTCAGCCTTGCCTGAGGACCCAGTTAAGTAGGCTGGGGTTGTGTTAGAGTTGGGGTTGTAGCCATAGATCCTAATGGCAGTCTCAGTGAGCTGACCATTAGAGTGGAGAGTCTCATATGCCAGGAGACTCCGCAGGTCCCAGTAGCTTGGATGAGGGGCCTTCTTGTGGCATTCGGGGTCACAGGTTGAGGTGACATCCAAGCGGGCCTGAGACAGAAAATGAGGGGCCGGTCGAGCCTCCGTGTGCTGGGGGATGACCACAGGGATACGCTGGAGGACCCACTGAGGGTGAGAGGAGGAGGAGGATGATGAGGAAAACGGGAAAACAGGTAGAAGAAAAAGGAGAACGAGGAGGCCGGTCAACCTGCGGATAAGAGGCAGGAGAGGTGAGTGAACAGCAGCACTGAAAAGATAAAATTCATCATACCGTGACCAGACTTTTGGACCCCTCAGCAAACATAACTAAAAACAACATCTAGAATGCATTTCAGATTACATCACTACAGCCGGGAGAGTTTCTTTTTTTTCAACTTGAAGAATTTTTAACTCCACTGAAATCTGGCAGCCACAATCTTCCACTTAAAAAAATGCAGCCGATACCATGAACAAGGGCAAAGATCAGGCTGTACTATGCTCGGATGGAAAATTCCTAAAGTGGCCTGAGGGATTGGCTTAAGCCTGCCAGAGTGGTGGAATAACATTGTTACTGCACTAAATACAGGCTCTGTTGCTTGTAAATAGGTTAGGGTGACAAAAGCCTCAATTTTGTATTTTAAATACGCTCAGACCTTTCTCTGCCCTCTGTCAGATCAACTACTTGATACACTGCTGTCAGGAACGGTGATAGAAAAAAAAAAATCCATATCTGCCTCTTGGATTAAAAAAAATCTTTTTTTTAACTCATAAAATCAGAAGGCTAAATATCTATTTTCAGCACTGGTTTTCTAATTGCCGGCGGTAATTCTTCTTCTTTACAGGTTTATTTCGTTATTTTACAACCTCGCCCTATGGAGATTTTTCACGGTTCACACCCAGCCCCCCTACCCTCCTATAAACTGGCTGAAACCTGCCATAGAGGTGGCTTACCGGGGGAGCTCCGCCCGGGAGCGAGGCATTGTCAGGAGTCTCTGCAGGTGAGCTGTTGGCTGAACACCGACAGAGGGACAAAACCCCTCAAACCAGAGCAGACAGCGCCCTCGATGGAAGCTGTGAAGCGGTGAAGAACTCCTGCTGCGAAAGCAAACCAGCTCTTCTCTCAGCTCTTCACTCAGGAACTGCAGACCTCAGCTGCTGAGCCGTGAATCCAAAAAGGAGTCGACAGCGGACGCGTTGAATCATTGCGCGCTGCTGCTGCTGCTGCAGGAGGAGGGGCAGGTCTCCTGCCTGCCTGTCTGGAGTCAAGCAGTCACATCCGATGCGGATGGAGTGTAACCACCCGGTCACGTGACTTTTTCTATCACAGGTGCGGGTTACCGTTACGAACTTTCTGCTGCGCGTAAAATCAAATCCAAAAAAAGCGTGTGTGCTGTATTTTTGTATCACACGTCGTTTCTGCAGCTGGATTCAGTATAATCAATAGCTCGATTTTATTATTTAGAATTTCTGGCAGCGATGATCAAGCAGAGAAAAAGACAGACAGTCTGTGACACAATGACATTTTCATGAAACACGCACGTGCTCCCAAAGAGAAAAACGTGGATTTTCACCCTTTAAAACAAGATGCAAAGAATGAGCAATTAAAATGTTTCTGATCAATAATTGCTTATGAGGAAAACTATCTGGCAAATAAGTGCAATGCTGTTGAAATGATAAAGATCTCAAAATGCAAACTGCTGCTGAAGATGGTCTGCTAAAGAGACTGTAGAGTTTTGCCTACTTCAGCAGGTGTGCAGTTGAGATCACCTCAAGAGTTTGAACTTTAATCACACTAAAGATTTTTTTTTTTATTACACATTTTATTAAAAATGAATCTAACTATCTATTCCCCTCATTCACATATATTATTTTGTTTTTGGTGTTGAGACCATCTGTCTTGCAACATCTATCGTGGTGCCTACAAAGTAATGTCTGATATCCAAATGTAAAGTCATGTGCGTGGTTGCAATTCTATCACATCGGTAAAATCTGGCCACAGGCAAACTGACTACACTTAGGTTTATAATTTGTTGAACAAAGACACCATTACTTTTTTTAGTTTTGACGCAGACGTTGATTCAAAGTACTGAATTTAGAGCTTTTCGCTGTCATTTTAAATTTGAGATCCAAAGTGATGAGTGAGGCCAAAATAAATCTGTAAGATAGCAGAAACTTTAGGAGTGGCTGGATCAACAATCTGGTGCATTGTTAAAAAGAAGGAATGCACTGACAAGCTCAGCAACAACAAAAATGCCTGAAAAGACACAGAAGACATCTGAAGTGCATAATGATAGAATTACTTCCTTGGCTAAGAAAAACAACTTCAAAACATCTAACAAAGCCAAGAGCACTCTGTAGGAGGAAGGTGTGATTGTGAAGATCAAGAGATGCCTTTATGAATGGAAATGTGCAAAACCATTTAGCGTTTACCAGAAAGCGTCTAAAAGAGCCAGCACAGTTCTGGAAATGAAAAATAAACTTCCCCACAGATGAAACCAAGATGAAACTATCACATTACCTGTCAAATATGTGGAGGCAATTTCACGGCTGCCAGTGGACGTGAGTCAGTGGTTAATGATGATGTGGCCGCTGCTACAACCAGCACATTGAATTGTGTGATGTTGTTTAATCTCTGCTCTGATTCAGCCACATGATGAAAACCTGATCACAGTGAAAATGGATAATGAACCAAAATATACCACAAAAGCAACCCAAGAGTTTCTTAAGGGGAAGAAATTATATTCTTCTGTTATTGACTGAAAATTACTTTCATCCAACTATCAAAAACCCCCATATTTTAAATGATCTTACATTACCTCATTAATTGAACCTCTAAAAAAGTATAAATGTATAAAAATGGCTTTCATTTTTAAACACTTAATGCAAAAGTTTTGTTAAATCTCTTAAAATCAAAACTGAAAGTCTGCACTTTCAGTAAAAACACATTGATTGTTTGGTTTAAAAGCAATCTGGGTGATGTACAGGGGCAAAACTACTACCCCAAAAAAGCAATTACGCAAACTTATCCACTTTGTAGAAGAAGTAGAACTTATATTTGTGCTAATACTCATCAAATACTACTAATGAAAACCTTAAACTTGGCCCACCTGAACCAAGTCGCTTGTCATAAAGAGACAGAGAGATGAAAAACTTGCAGAGAGGATTATGA